AGGGTTTAGGGTTCAGATCCAGGGCTTCGGCGGCAGGGGTGTAGGATTTAGGGTTTAGAGTTTAGGGATATAGCGCTTTGGGATCAGGTGTTTGGGTCAAGAAAATTTGTTGCAGGATTCAGTGATTCGGGGGCCCCTGAGCTTGTCCTGGTACGTGAGGTGTGAATAACAGGTTACAAGGCTTCTTTGGGGTTGGGGCTTACAGTTCTTAGGAGTTGAAGCTTCGAGGACTGCCTTAGCATAATGTGTATATATATATATGTCATATATATATAAATAATACGTAAGCTGCAGTTATTACTGCAGCTTACATTTTTTCTCTCCCTTTTTTTCGCCTGACGATGCGCTAGACATTCTTGAGCCAAAATGCCGCCCGCCTAGCGTGCCTTGCCAGGCAGGCCTCTATGTGCAAAAGTAGAACCCTCCACACTGGTCTGGAGCCCTTCCATCAAAAGTAGATACCGTCACGAAAGGGGGGTCTAAAAAGTAGATCCGCCCAGGGGTCTGGGTAGGAAAAGCAAGACATCTGGATGTTTCCTTACTTTGGATTCAGAAACTGAAAAGCATTTTGGTTAAAGCGATAGAAGGTGTTGACAATCCCGCAGATTTGGGAACCAAAGCGTTGTCGCGAGACAAGATCAAGAAATATTTAAAAGCGTTGGGATACAGAGGTGATTTTGTTGATGAAGAAGAGCACCAAGTTCGAAGAACGAAAACAGGTATGAAAACCATCAGTGTGAGCATGATTGCAAAGATTGTTGCGTAGAAGGAGCAAAAGTTTTTGCGGAAAGACAAAACTTTGGAATTAGTACGTCTTGCAATTTTGGATGTTGCTTGTTAGTACTGATTTGCATTGTTTTGGAGCATGTCTATGACCGCAGCTGTTTTGCCCAAGCGCCGGGACTTGGGAAAGAAAAGAAAAGAGCCTCGAAAGATTTGAAGAAGTTAGAAAAGAAAAAGGAAGAAATGATGAGTGAAGAGGCTAAGAATGCTGAGCAAGCTGCTGAGAATCAGCCTAGAGCTGATGATGTGCCCACCGAGCCGGAACCAACAGAGTTTGGGCCGGAGACAATGTCTAAAAGAGCTGAAGAGCTCCGGAAGATTGCTATTGCAGCAAAATCGGGCCGTGCGGCAGCACTGAAGGCAGAAGATGCGCGACTTGAAAAAGAGAAAGAAAAAGAGCCGAGAAGGAAACGAATCCGGAAACAGCCAATAATCCGGTTGGAGCTTCAAAGGAAGCTGAAGAGAATGAAGAAGAAGAGGAAGAGGAGAGCACAGACTCCTCAGAGTCATCCTCCGAGGAGGAAACAAAGCCGGAAACAGCCAACAATCCGGTCGGGCCAGTAAGTACAACTTTAGATGTACCACAGGAGACAGAGGGCGTTACTGAGACAGATCGAGAGCAAGCAGCAGCCGATCTGAACGACGAGTACAAAGAAGCGGTGCGCCCATATGCTCAGAAAGTCGAAGATCAACTGAGCCACTCAGCGTCGCGGATAGTTGCTCTTTTCCCCGGAACGCTAAGCAGCTTATCCGAGCCACCGGATATAGAGCCAGAGCACCTCCGCGAACTACAAGTGTTAGGCAGGTCAATGCTGAGACGCAGGACACCTCAGCTGAAGCTACTGCTGATAGAGAAGGAAAAGCACCTGATCAGCCAGAAAGAAGAGATTGAGAAAGAGATGGTGCGAAAATTGAGCTGGGTTCAAAACCGCATGGTAGAACTAAGAGCTGAGGAAACTGCGGTTGAGCGCTCCCTCACTTTCCACAACAATGTGGAAGAGTTTACGGTAAGATCTATGGAAGCTTTGAAGAGAGCTCAGAGCTCGAGGGAGGCGGTCCTGATAGGTTGGCAGGGATGTTCCTTTAACCTCACCAGCAGGGGCATAGATAGGCTTTCAAGCTTGACCTTGTCAGAAAGCATCTTCGCTGAGATCCTCCGTCAGATTGGAGATAGAGAGAGGACTAGCCGAGTGCGCATCTAAGAGAGATGAGGCTATCGATCTTGAAGCAGATGAAGCGGCCTCAAGTGGCACAAAGAGAAGTCAAGAGATGCCACCACCGATTGCGCCAAAGGCTAAGAAAGCTCCCACGCAGTTGGGAGAGCCAACAGTGAAGATTGAGAAGCCTGAAGTGAAGGCTAGGCCTAAGATGCCTGAGAAAGAGAAGCGCCGCGATTACGAGAGCGAAGGAGAAAAGAAAAAGCAGCGCTATGATTATGAGAGTTTGGAAACGAACACGGTAGATAGGAAGTGCCGCGCGAGTTGCTGTGTGTGGAAATTGGACAACAGCAATGGGAGGTCCTTGGAAAGGACAGACGCCAAAGACTGCTCAAAGAGCAAAAGACCTCCGAAGAATGCTTCTTTTGTGGCGAGCGTGGCCACAGAGCCTATTGTTGCCCTGCCATGCTGAGTTTGGCAGTTCGCATAGGCCGACACCTCCAACAGCAAGCTTTTGAAGGTGGTGATAGGAAACACTCCTTGTACTGCACGTCGTGCGTGTTCTCGAACACAATTGGATACGTGCAGCAGAACCAGCGTGGAAGATACGGCAGCGGATGGTTCAACCACACGAGGAGTAGTTACAACTGGAAGTCCTCTTGCAAACTCAAGGAGGACCGCGAGCTTTGTCAGCTAAGCGATAGAGAGCTCAAAGACCATTTGATCGAAGTTGGTCTTCTTGGAGAGAAGGAGGCCGAGAAGCTTAGAGAGAAAAGAAAGGCTGAAGAGATGAAGAAAGCCTCAAAAGCTCGGAGCTCAGGAAACGAGCCACGATCCGTGAGCGTTAGTCAAAGTGAAGAACCTGATCGAAAGAAGCAAAAGAAAGAGAAGAAGGAGGAAGAAAGAAGAAAGAAGGCTGAGGCTGAAGCTGAAGCAAGGAAGAAGGAAGAAGATGCAAGTAAGAAAAAGGAAGCTGAGGACTTCAGAGCACAACTTCAATCCGAATTGGATATCATCTTACACGGTTATCTTTTTGATGAGACGTTTAGATGCGAGACTCAGAAAAGCCTCATGAAGCAGGCTGAGTACGAGAAGAAGTTGGTGTTTTCCGTACTGGAAAGAATGCCGAATTACCGGTCTCGGGTTCAGGAAGGTGAAGACATGATCATGAATAGAAGAGAAATTGAAATGCACAATGAAAGGATGAGAGAAGCAGAAAGAGAAAAAGAGAGAGAGAGAGAGAGAGAGAGAATCTTGTGCAGGACGCAGCCGAAGCTGAGAAAGTCGAAGGCAGGTTGAGGAGAAAGAAAGAGAAAAGATTGAAGGAGAAGGAGCAGCGAAAGGCTGCACGAAAAGCTGAGAAGAAAGAGCGCAAGGAGGAGCAGCGCAAAGAAAAGAAAGCAAAGAAAGCTGAAAAGAAGGGAAAGGCAAAGGAGTGAGTAGATGAGGAAAATTCCTCAAAGTGATAGAATTGATTCGAATTCCTAAGATGCCAATGGAAAAGCGTTCCATTGATTTGAATCGACTTTGAAAGGATTCGGAGATCCTTTAGGCCGTAGAGCTGTTAAAAAAGGAAGTATGAAGGAACCCGTGATTAAGTTCACGAATATGCAATAAAGATTGCATGTTTCACCAAAGCCGCGTAGAGCGATGAAAAGTAGTTTTTCTGCATTTCTTTGGAGAAGGGTGCGGACGAAGAGTTAATTCGACTTTTGATGGCGGGAAAGGACTCTACAAGACCGCCTGCGTGCGAAAAAGTGAGCCGTTCACCACATGATGCTCAATCGAGCAACCGCAGGTTTAGTTTGATTTACTTTGGTTTAGTTTTGAGGTCGAGTCATCTATGACATGATCGTTCGAGTGGTTGATTCTGATTATCCGTTTTTGGTTTAATGGCTTTTCAAGCATTTGGCGACAGAAAGTGGGCGAGGCCCAAGACAAGTCAAGTTCCCAGCGACTTTTGAGTCGATCAATGGCATGGTGATGGATTGATTCTGTTGCTAAACACCTTAGATGTGACTTCGAGACTTCGAGAGTCAAGTTGCATCAGACAGTTCAAGTCGTCACAAGCCGTCCAAGACGGGTATGATGATCGATCCTTGGATGATTGAGTCTTGATGATACGATCTTGGAACTTTGAACCTTGGAAGTACAAGATGAGTGAGAGGTATGCCCATGTACAGTTTGAGTTCGACATTGGTGGATGAATAGCACCACGCAAGTCGAAGAGGGCGTAGCAAACATTTAGATTGTACATGTGCCCAATATGAGCCTAGATAGCAATGCATGTTTCACTCCGCTGTTAGGCTCAAACCACACCCCAACAGACTGCAGCCGCAGTGAGAAAAGTGTGCCGTTTGTGAGGCCATAAACTTTGGTCTAAAACTTTCAAAACAACATCCTCAGCGGCATCAACGTACTGTTGCTGCAAATTCAAATCTGATGTTGCCTCTATTGAGTACCTGACACGCCAAAACTTCGGCCGAGGTACAGGGCCTAAGTCTTGACAGACGGGTTGCTACGGGAATTCCCTGATGAACAACCCTTGTTGTCGAACCCGATGATCTTACTCACCGTGCTCCATGTAGTCACGCCTGTATGTTCATTTCTTGAGATCCTGTAGCACACGAGGTCTCCAGCCTGGTGTCGCTCAGGCAAGGGTGCAGATTTCCTCAACACGATCTTTCTGACCCTGCTGCTACAATCCTCATGGACGAATGCTTTCCTGGCAGTATGCCAAACCTCGGCTTTCCTCCCGAAAGCGGTCGAGGCATCTTGTAGTCCAGATAGCACTCCAAGCTGGCCAAGTTCCTCCTCGTCTAGGATATGGCCGGCTCCTCTTGGAAGCCTTCCAAGTACCCAGTGTGGGGCTAAACCCACCGACTCGGAGAAATTCGTTTTTCGACAAGCCTGACGAGCACATGCTTGCAAGAGCACCCATCTATGGTAGGACCGATGGAGGCAGGCGATTCTGGAAACGTCTCCGGACCTACTTGAAACAAAAGGGTCTCAAGTGCGCTATACAGCTTCACGGACGCCAATGGGGTAGTACAGATGCTCATGACGTCCCATGTGGACGACTTGCTGTGGGCGTGTGGCCCGTCATGCAACTGGATCATCAAGGACCTCATCGACACATTTAAATGTGGTACGGTCGAAACAGGCTCCTTCAGGTACTGCGGAAAGGAGATTAAGCAAGACGAAGACTTCAACATCCACATCTCCTGCAGCGACACTACCAGAGGAGTCAAGAAAATCCATGCTGAGCCAAAGAGGCATCCGGGAGATCCTTTGACGGACTCCGACAAGACACAGATGAAGAGCGTGGCTGGTTCGTTGGCATGGGTATGCAGACAGTGCCGACCAGACCTCAGCTATAGGGTTTCTCGTGTTCACTCAGCATCAAACAGCGGGACCGTGGCGGACATTCGTGAAGCCAATAAGACCGTTGAGTATGCCATACGCACTCATGATCGTGGACTGGTGTTCCGTTCAGGTGTGTTGGGAAGAAGCCCGGAGCTCTTGTGAATCTTGTGATCACGGACGCTTCGCACGCAAACGAGTCCGAGGAGATGATCATTAATGAAATGACATCCGTGGAAGGCTACAGAAGTCAAGGAGCCCGCATGGTGTTCCTTGGACCTGTGGAAAGGAGACAAGGGTCACATTCATCCTATCTCTTGGTCAAGCAACCTTGTGCGCAGGGTCTGCAGATCGACTATACAGGCGGAGGCTTATACCTTACAGGCCGGAGTTGAAGACGGCGACGTAGTAAGGGCCGCTGTCACAGATATCTTCGGATGTCTTGACTTGAAGCGGTGGGAAGCCACATCCGAGAAGTTTATGAGGCAGGTATATGGATGACGGACTGCAAGAGTCTCGAGCAGACCTTAAAGAACCCGAAGTATAAACACTCGGATAAGAGGTTGAGCATCGAAATTGCGTCTCTCAGGCAAGATCTCTGGAGGAAGAAGGGCGAAGACGCAGGAGATCTACCGCCCTGCGAATGATCAGTTGACTGACATCGTACGATGGATAGACACCGATGTGATGATCGCTGATCCTCTCACGAAGGTGATGGAACCAGTCAAGCTGGTACAAGCTCTGGAGACCAACGTTTTGGACGTTGAGCAGCCACTTGACAGTGTCGTCAACTAAAGGGCAAAACAGCTCCAGAGACGAAAGGGTGATCAAAACGCGGACACCCCGGAGCATGAGACGGCAATCACATGATGCCGATCTCTTAGGTGGCCAAGTTTCACCACATTGATGCTGTAAGAGTCACGGGTGTGAAATAGGGCTCAGTTTCAGCGCGTACAGTGTGTGTACAGGCATTTTGCAGTGACCAAACTTGACCTTCTTACCGCAGGGGCCCCTTTTTGGAGCCAGGCACAAGCTATGGCAAAACGACTAGTCTTCGCACAACCAAAACCTGAACCTGCTAAAGGGACGCAAAGACTAGGCCCTAAAGTTCTAAAGAAACCCAGCGACAAGGCCTGATCAAGGTGTGAATTCTGAGGTTATCAGTTGACCAGGCGGTTAGCACCTCCCACTTGTAAGTTTTCTCGAAGCTTTTAAAAAGGCATGCCTGCAGCGGCGAGCGGCTCCCGGAGGCATAGCAAAAGAAAGCTAGCGTTTTGCGTGGGCCATGCGTGAAGCTGTTTGAGCAGTGGCTAATCTGCACAAGGTTGGGGTTGAGAAAAACGTCAGCAAGGGGCACGGGTTTCCCACCATGGTGTTTGGATATTGCTGTACGTCGTCTTGATATTGATAGTAATCATCGAAGTTGTGCTATGTCTTAAGCAGAAATGGCAATTGCCAAAAAAATGTGTCAACATGATGATTCCGGTCTATCAGCTCAACAGTGATGATTGGACCGGTGTTCTTGCAAGCACGACAGGCAAACACGGAAGGCGTGCAAAGCTGCTCATGGACTGCGCCCAATAAACAGACAAACCTGTCCCTCAAGCCAAACGGAAAAGATGGCCAATGTCTTGCTGCTATTTGCGCCGTGTGCCACGCGACTGCTGTCATTGGATGCGGCCTGTGGTCTGCATTCGTCCTGCGGCGAGAGCCGAACACACAGCAAACCACAACCCCCACAACAGCCAGCACGCATAGCAACTACTACCATACCGAATGAGGACGTCCCTTTTTCTAGCGCATTCATGTGTGAGCCGTAAGCCATGTCAAGGTCCGTTTTCGAGAGCATCCAGTTCAAACCATGATAGAAACAAAAACGGACTTTGTGCACTAGAGTCGTGCCTCAAAGGAATCCTTGGCTCTCGAGTCTGATGCGGGCACGATCGCGGGCACCGAAAATGCCGCCTGGATGAAAGCGGAAGCACGGAAGTGGGTGAAAGCAGATGTCGACCTCCGTGCAAAGCTGCAGGAGTTTGGTGCCCGGAGACGTCGGCGAGAGGCCAGGCCCAAGAAGGGCATGTCTGAAACTGAGCTTGAGCAAACTCGTCTATGAACGAGACGTCTTCACGTCTTGTTTCATCTTCTTGAATCTGAAGCTTTTCTTACTTTCTTCGCATTTCTAATCACTTTCTGCTTAGGTCTAGGCCGATGCTGTTGGTGACGGCAGCAGATGCAGAGCCGGCGCGCGTGCTGGCGCAGTTAGCAGCGGCGCAGCCCTTGGAGCAGTTCATCGGAGCTAAGCAACAGGCACGCACCACGGAGCTTTGAGCAAAACGTCTTCAAAGCATTCCGCATATGATTTCTGCATATTTCTTGCATTCTCCTGAAAGTAGAGCCTTCACGTGAAGGAATTGCGGGTCGTCAACGCCGGGCGATGGCAAGCACTAAGCGGGACGCTGCTGCACTCCGTTCAAGATGCACACAAGCGCGGCAGGCACGGAACGGTACGGATCTCTTTGTTCTTTCAGAGCTCATCAAAGAGCATGCGAGGTGGCTGCTCCTGGAGCACATCCACCTTGTGGCCTCCTGGCTGCCGCAGGCCTGCCTTAGCCCTGAAGAACCCTGATTTGAAGATGACCTGAAGGTTCAGACGAGCCGTACCTCTTTTTTTGCGTTTTAGATGTTCTGGTATTCTTCCAGGTTTCGCCCGGTTCTATAGATGCCTTGACAGCTCCAGTTGCGCACAGTGCGGACCTGTTCATGTTGAAAAGCTGANNCCCCCCCCCCCCCCCCAACGACGAGCTGAAAGCAGGTCTGAAAAACCATGCCGGAGATAATCAAGCTAGACTCTGCATTCGAGGAAGGTCGAAGTAACAGGTGTTGCGTCCACAGAGATCTCAGAGTATAGAGATGCAGACCGAAGATGGCAACACTCTGCTTTGCTCAGTTGGACGCTTTCCTGGCAACGATCCTGGAGGCAAGAGAAAACTTTTTAAAATGAATGGAGAAAAAAAACGAGATGAACGGCTAATTGCCAGGATGGCGGAGACTTCTTTGACCGGTCTCAGGGCTCGGCACTCCCCGGCTTCCGGCTCTTTCTGTCGACTTCCACAAACGTCTTTTCCCAAACGCTTCCGGCCGCCCTCATCCTGAAATGCGCCATCGACTCATGGTGCCGGAGCAACCACTAACCACTCGACTGCCAGCTTGCCTTTGGCTTAGGTCCGTGTCGCTTGGGAGCTACCACGAGGATCCAAGGCGCTTCTTCAACGGGCAGGCGCAGGCGCCGCTATTGCCCGCGGCATGGAGAGGCAAGCTGCACACTCTGCAGGCATGATGTTCAAGGAAAGGTCCGAAAAGGAGAAAGCAAAGGGCAAGGAGCAAGAGAGTGAGAGAGTAGTGTTGAGTAGTGGGAAGACTAGGCGAAGATGCTGGGATCTTGAAGAGCGACAGGAGCGGCAGGAGCGACTCTGGGACGTTTGTGCCGGAATGGAACAGGCTCAGCTGGTTTAGGCTTGAAGGCAGATTGCCACTCGCGCTCCTCGCGCTCAGGGCCGAGTGCTGCTCGTGGCCTTGGCTCGCTTCCAGGCAAGGAAGCGAAGCGAAGATTTTCCAAGATTTTCCCAATGCTTTCAAAAGTGGATTCCTTGCACTCGGTGTTCTTCTGTCTGTGCTCAGGCACTGCTCCAACAACATCCCCCCTGCGATCAGGACAAGCTGAGATTTCAATTCGGCCTAAACTCGTGCAGTCAGCATGCCCAGGCTTGGCTTGTAGGAGCTCACTTTCCATTTGGCTATCTCCCTCTTTGAAGATCTGTGCATCGTCCAGCGACACCCCAAGCGCGATCTTAGTGTCTTTGTGGCGGCATCTCTGTTTGGTTGAGGAAGACATCCGCAGAGTCAGAGGTAGGGCTCCAAACAGCTCAAGACAAAAAGGGGTGTCAATTTTCACCTGGGAGGGATCCTGTTCGGCGGAGCTCTGCGACCACCTCATGCAGGCTAGCAGCGGTAGCAGCGGTAGCAGCAACTAGATTTACCAGATACATAAGATAAGCTCTTTCCTGAGAGGCCTATGCAAATGGAGAGCTGCCGCGGCGATGCCTCGAGGCCATCTTCCAGGGCTTTGTCAAAGAGCCGGGCACCCAAAGGAAGAAGCTTAGAACTGCGCTTACGACGCAGCAGCTACAGCGGCTACGTAGCGTCGTGTCACCAGCTCAGGCCAAGCAAGGTTTTGAGCTCAGAGACCGCAGTTCCTGGCCACTCTCGGATCCTGCCCGTGGCCCCGTGGCCTGTCTTGTCAGACGCTCTCGGCGATCTCCGCCCCCAACTTCTCAAGCGCAACCTTCGAGTCAGCACTGGATCTCCTGGGCAGCAGATGCAAATTGAGTCTGGTGTAGTGCGGTGGTTTGACACATGAGCTCATATGTTTCAAGGTCAGCTCGAGGTTGAGGAGCCGAGCCTTGCAAAGGCACGCGGATGTCATGAGAAGAACATCGCCTTACTCTTCAGACTTGACATGGTGAGGCAGAGAACGATACATCTCAGCTGCTCCGGTTTCTGGCAAGATCCGCTGATAGATCACTGGCACATACACCTGTCAGGAGCTGAGCCTGCAACAGCAACTGTACTGCGCAATGGCCTGTGCCATCCGTGTGCCATCGCCCGCTATGCGTGTTCTGAGATGTTGTGAGGCTTTGTGGAAATCCGAAGCAGGCGAAGCAGGCCAAGGGAGAGAAGAGAGAAGAGAAGAGTTGGAGAGAGGAAATTTTCAGGCGAAGCCTTGAAGCTGGCTGTCCACCTCCTGGAGGAGACCAAAGTGATTCAAACACATTCTTGAAAGTCTCTGAACACAGGAGTTGCCGCCAGCGAGCCACGCTCCAGCCAACAGCAGTGGCAGCGACACCTCCGAGGCCCGAGTCTCACTCTTTGAGTATTTGCTGGCATTTAAAGATGCATGCTTTCTGCATGGCTGATACTCTGCGTACTCAGTTCTTGAATCCCGGCACAATTCTTGCAAACTCGCATATGCAATGGCATGTAAGCCCTACTCTCGTAGATTCTACTGTGATCCTCGAATGTGTCAAATGTTCACAAGTCTCATAGATGCAAATCCGATCAAACCAAGTCAAATGAAATCAATGCGAATCACCCAGTCAATCGACGTTATGCACTGTTGAACCATCTCTTGCTGACATGTCCTGAATATCTGTGCTCTGAGCTTCTTCGCGTTCAGTAGTACCTAACATGATAATGACGATCAAGGACAACAGCCTGCAGTGGAAAGCCACAACGTTGGGAAGAACTACATCGAAGAATTCATGATTGGAGCCAACTGAGGAACATCTAGCGTTGCACTGAATCATGCAATGCAATGCACAACAACAAACATTTGACAAAAGAGGCGTTTTTACAGGTCTGCGAAGATTTGCGGTGGATAACTTGCATCAGTGTGAAACTGTTTGAGTTCTTCGACCTAGACCTGTTCAAGTCTGGTGTGTGGGGGCCAGGCATATTTAACATATTTGTTGACTGAGCTGATTCTGGATCGAAGACCAGAAACAAGTGGTTCGAACTGTGCGCAGTGTTTGTGATGGCTTGAATGAGCTGATGCGCCTGTGCAAGGATGACACACAATCCCATCTTGACGTCGCATGGCTCAAGACAATCGTGGATTCTGAGGAAAAGAGGTGATGTGTGATCTTGGGAATGGGTCCGGGGTATAAGCCTGGAGACCTCTCTACATGACATGGCGTCGCATTACAATCATCTTGACGATGTTCCTCACAGTATACGACGTACTCTCAACATGTCAAATCAGGCCTGTCCAAGCCCTTCACTTACCGCATGATAACCAATTCTCCCTCCCCTGAGAACCCTCATAACCAACAGGTTATGAGCCCAAATCTGCCCGCAAGTACCCACACAGCAACAGCCGCCGCTGCAGAGGACATGCAGACAGACAGCCCCATTAGGTTTAGATCCATCACCCAGCTGGACATTCCTAGGGAGGTTTGCTTTCGTTCCAGAGAAACCTTGGTGAAGATCTTGGATTCATGAGCGAGTTGTCATCAGCAATGCAAGAGCTGTCGGACAGGGCACAGCATAGACCATCGATTCTGGGCACGGCTCTTGAGAATACGGGTCAGGCTGTGTTATAGTTGCAAGCGGGGCAAGACACCCTCAAGGCAGGCATGGAGCAACTTCAGGCCGAGATGCTGAGGCAACAGCAAGTCCTTCCAGCAATCGCACAGCACCATAGTATTATGTATAACAGTCAAAGCGCGCAACATGATAGAGATATCCAGGCGTGAAGGAGCACTTGGAATCCAGTCACAGGCAGCAAAGTGCTAGCCAGGCCAAACTTGATCATGGCGTTCAACTTCAGGCCGAACTGGCCGCGCGTGTTGAGTAGCTAGAGGATCAAGTTCAGAGGTTGATCCTAACAGCAAGGAATGAAACCACGTCAGATTCTGCATGTATTTTCAAGCGCGAGACAGCGTCGAAACCCAGGCATTGCAAGCTGAAGTTCAGCGTTTGAGCACCATTCTTGAAACAAAGGAGCAGGAGGAAAAAGCAAGTCTTGAGTGGCAGGACAGCCTTCAGGAAATGGTGGCTGAAAGTATGGTTCGGCTGGAAGCCTTGGAACAGGGAGCCGGCCCACAAGTGTTTCAGCTGCCTCCCGAACGAAACATGATGCAGTTGGACGGTGGTCGGACAGGCCTGCCACCATTCATGATCCCCCGACCCTGCCTCCAGGGCTAAGCAAGGCTGCATCGGGTGCATCAGGGACGGAGCCCGCACGACATGCCGCGCCTAGGGTTCCCGAAGTCCCTAATGGTAAGTGGAAACTACTTCTAGATTTGCCGACGTTTGTCAGAGCATCTGGGGAGCCATGGGAAGTGTCCATTGAGACCGTGAGTCATGTGTTTGCTGAGTACCGCGCCAGCGACATGAGGCCCTGATGGCCGGTGGCAACAGGCAACCCGTGGATGAAGTACCGGCAGAGCAAAAAGAGTACGAAGCTAGTCAACACTTCTATTTCGTCGAGAAGCCTTCTAGAGTCTAGAGGAGCTGGTGAATGTAATCCAGCCGGGAGGTAAAGAGGAGGTTGCAGGCCTGTTGAGATATGCTCGGGGTCTGGATCCTGTGTCATCGGTTAAGGAAGGATTGGAAACCCTTCGCAGGTGGCGCACTGCCCGTGCTCTCGCAGCAGCATTGCATCTACCCCCAGCTGCACCTAGCCTTAATGTTGGATCCTCTTTAATAAGGGGCCCCCCCCCCCTTCCCCCCTTAACATTAGGGCCCTCCGAAAAATAGAAATTAGCGATCCTCAATAGTGGCCCCCCTGAGCTCCCACGGTTCTGAGGTCCTTGTAGATTGATTTAAAAGGGATTGTTGAGAATCCTTCCTCTATTTTTAGGGCCCCAAAATCAAAACACATTATAGGGGACCTTCCCAAACATTGCTGGGTCCTGAATAAGCCGGCGCGAAAACACATTATAGGGGACCTCAATATTAAACAGGGTCCAACATTAAGTCCTTATATACCCTAATTCGAAATCTTGAGCGCAAACATGATGCCTTACGCACCCACATGAGTCTAGCGAAGCCGGCGCTGCAAGTGCAGTATCCTACGGAGGAGGGCGTGACAAACATCGCCGACATGATTGAGAAGGAGTTGTGTCAGGCAGCTGGTAAGGAGGCTGTGGTACGCATCCACTCAGACAATGCGCTTGAGTTGGTGACTAAAAAAAATGGTTCAGCAGATCAATGCTCGAAGCATCTTCAAGACGGTCACGGTGCCATACAACCCTGCTTCAAATGGGCGCGTGGAGAGGGCAGTACAATCCTTGCAAAGGCAGCGTTGCAGTATCTCTTGGACCAACGTTACATCGGGATCACTCATCCATTGACGAAATGAATCCCTCAAGGTCTTTGACCTCTTTGTCATGGCATCGGCCCTTGGCTTCTCGCTGGGGACCCAACGTAAACCTCTACAGGTCTGCCGAAGATTAGCTACATCCAGCTCTACACGCTTCTCTGAGAAATTCGTGCTGAGCCTGTGCACACTATCCCACAGCGATCGAGCATCGGTGATGGGAACCACCTCATACTCTGGCCTCTCATTCAGCGTGGCGATGAAGCGACCGTTGGTCATCTCGCTGAAGACAATGGCCATGAAGTTAGCATGAGCATGAGCTCGATCCAGAGCCGCAGCTTCGGCCGCCAGGGTACTTCGTAGTACTCGCTGATGACGGTAGCTCTTCCACTCAAGCAGCGAGGCGGGACGAGTCTCCTGCTTAGCTCTCTTGTCCGTTGCCGCCACCACAAAACCTCCTTGGGGTTTGTTGTTGGGAGCATTAGCGAACCCTGAGTCACCGAAGGCCACAAACATCAGCTCGTCCAGCGGGATCGGCACGATCTTGATGTAGGACTCCTTAGTCGCCTTGACATAGCGCAACACCGCGGCCACCTCCTTGAGGTCGCTGACCTTTAGGTCCTCCGGGGGCTTTTGAATGAGGCTGGTGTCCGCAATGTCGCCTCGGGTCGTACTTGCCAGCCACTGAAGACTGCCTATGCCCGATCTGAACTCCGTCACCAACTCGGGGTGTTCGGAAAGGAGCGTGTCGTCGTCATAGTTGACCTTTGCCACCGAAGCCATCTCCGACACGTAGCTGACCTGGTCGATGGAGTGACCTTCCTGCCGATGAAGGTAAACTCTCCCGAGGTCCAGGGGCTACCCCAGGTAAACGAGCCCTCGACATCGTGGAGGAACTTCTCGTGGTCGTTCAGGGCGCAGGAGATAATGTCGTCGACATGGATGCCCAGCAAGGCAACTACGCGGCCGTTGACCCTTTGCATGAACAAGCAAGGATCCAGACTGTGCTGAACCCATCCAAGCTCCAACAGCACTCTTCGTACATGCTCGAACCACTGACGGGGAGCGTTAGCTTGCCCGTATACTGGAGCCGAGAGCTTGCGCAAGAGTAGTTTGTCACCCCATTGAGGAACAGCTTGGGCTGCAATGGGATCACTTGGCGGCCTCTGTCCGGTTCTCCTTGCAAGAATGCACTCGAACAATCCCCGTTCCACAACAGGACATGATGCGACGCTGCCCATTGAAGGATCAGGTGGAAGCTTGTCTTGGCCAAGACCGGGGAGTCCCGGGTGAGTAATGTCCCGGCGATGACCATTCTTGCCTTTGCACGGAGGCCCTCCTGAGCAGGCTTCCATCGGTAACATATTCGAGATTTGAGCACCAGGTGTGCCGCGATCTCTCCCTGTCGGACTGAGACCACTTCTCCCATTCGGACCACTCCTTCTGCACGGCGGCCACGAAAGACGGGATCTCATCCTCGGTCATGCTCTGCCAGTGGATCTCCTTCTCGCGCGCCTGCAGTGCTGCATGACGTGAGGTACCAGACGAGCCATCGTCGCCCTCCTCATCGCTGGAGGATTCCATGGCAATGACCTTCTCGATCTCACCATTCGCTGAAGACTGAGAGGTAAGAGGATATGCTTCAGCGAGAGTCTGCGCCAGCCATGGTGCCCAGGAGGGAGTATCCGAAGCAGAACCTTCAGCGGTGTAGTGGGCCTCGAACATGACGGGACTGAAAGCCAAGCCGCTGCAACTTCTGATGAACCGAGTTCGGAGCGGCTGGAGCAAGATGTGACTGGTATGCCGTGATGGAGAATCTCTCGCCCACGTACTCCTCGCAACCATGGTAACAGTCAGGACGGAAGGAACCCAGTCGGTGCTTGGTGTCCCGCAAGTAGCCATAGAGGACCTGGCCATTCACGTACCTACCCACTATGTCCTTGGCGTTGGCGTCGGACGAAGAGTTTTCCAACCATAGCTTGCCCCCGCGGTAGTTCCCCAAGCTGATGGTCCAGTTGAGGGAGTCCTTGC